CAAAATCTTCTGAGGACCAAACTCTACTCCACCAGTTTCTCCCAATCCCATAATATCCTACAAATTTTCCACAGGAATTCAGGGAAGTGAAGGGCCACCCCAAACGAGGGCGGGGGACAGGATGGGAGAACGTAGAATGTTGCCACTGACTCGTATTTATGATGGTCGCAGTGTCCTGGGTTCATGTGACCCCCTTTTGTAACCTTCAGACAAGTAAGATTAGGGGTCAGCCAGATTCACTTAACAACCGTGCGATTTGCTTAACAACTGTAGTAAGAAAGGTTGTAAAATGGCAAAATTCACTTGTTTCGTTTAGCGACAGAACGTTTGGGCTCATTTGTGGTCATACGTCGAGGACTATCTGTATGCGAAGTAGTCAGAGGTTTTATCCTCACAATAATTGTTCAAAAATTGATCCACAATTGAACCAATTTTTTGGGGGGGAAAAAAACCAGATTTTGAAAATCGGGCACAACCAGCAGGGGGCAGTGGAAAATCAAGTACAGAAAAAGCCCAGCACAGTTGGAAAGGGAAAGTTGGGAAAAATCAACTTTTAACCATGGATCGGAAGTGACTTGAAAAATATTGTGGGGTTTTTTTTGTTTTTTTTTAAATAGACCGTTATTCTTATTTGACCATTGATTAGATTAAAATTGAGGGAAGAATATTTCGTGAGCGTTTGTTTTTCAGAATATTTGTTATTAGTAGTTTAAGGTGTTTTAAATATTGATTATTCATTTAAACTTTTGAGTGTGCTGTACCGTATTATCTCTGTACTACAAAAGTGGATCCCCTTCCTTCCTCCTTCTTTCATCTTTTCCTTCTCTTTCGCTCTATCTTTCAGCCCTTCTCCCTCCCTTTCTTTCTTTCTTTCTTTCTTTCTTTCTTTCTTTCCTTTCTTTTTCTCTCCCTTCCTTCTTTCTAGCTCTCCACTTCCTTTCCTTTTTTTCTCTCCCTCCCTCCCTCCCTCCTTCCTTTTTTTTCATTTCTTCTGCCTGTCATTTAATCAGCGATAAGGTCTTTCTGATAAATAAAAAGAATCTAAGGTTAGGGAGCCATCTCCGGCCAAAGATTATGGGGGGGAACAGTCCTCAACTTACAACTACAATGGAGATCAGAATTTTCATCGTTAAGTATTGCGTTTGTTGTGAGCTGTGCCTGACTTTGGGACCTTTCCGCCACGGTTGTTAGACTCGTTGCAGTCATTAAGTGGATCAGGCAGTCGTTAAGCAGATCTGGCTTCTCCCGTGCACTTTGCTTCTCGAAAGCCAGCTGGGGAAGTCGCAAAAGGGGATGATCACGTGACTCCGGGAAGCTGCAAGCGTCATAAATGTGAGTCGCCAAACGTCTGAATTGATCACGTGGCCATGGGGAGGCTACAGCGGTCGTTAAGTGTGAAAAACGGCCGTAACCCCTTGCTGTTGTACTAACTAAGAGAATGGTCGAGGACTACCTGAAATCCTTTGTATCTATTCCCAAAGTGGATCCTGTTCCGTTCTGGCAATTGATTCCCCCCATCAGAGGCTCAAAATTGAATCCATCAGTTACGTCTCCTCCAACACCGCCCAGCCTCAAATCCTCCCGGACCCTCCCCATTGTTGTGGGGCGGCAGCCTGGCCCTTCCCCACCACGCACTATGGGGCTGGCCCAATTACAGAGGGAGCTCCCGTGGACAAGTTGGGAACCCAGCCTCAGCTTCCAAGTTTCTAGTCCACATGCTCTGTGATATTTGGAGGAGACTCAAGTTTGCCTGGAGAACAAGGTCAAGGCCGTTTCCTCTACAGCTGAAGCTACGGGTGGTCCTCGCTTAATGACCGTTTGTTTTTCAACCGTCAGCCAAGCGTAAAGCACCCCAAGGGGGTCATAATGCTCAGGCTGCTGCCCTTAAGCCACGCGATCGCATGTCGGGTCATGCTCATGACCAGTTGTGTTTTGTGCTTGTGTGACTTGGAATTCACTATTTTTTTTTAACCAGTCTTTGGGAAACAAACAAACAAACAAACAAAAAACACTCATTCAAGTGAATGAATTTCCTTAACCGCCAAGAAAAAGGCCAGAAAAATTACTTCCGGTCTTATGGGTGCTTCAATTTATGACCGTAATTCCAGGCTGAGTTATGGTTTTAAGTCCAGGACTATTTATAGTTGAGCCATCAACCCTCCTGCGCTGCAACCAATGGGAATGATCAGAAGCAGGCGCAGTCAGCGTCATTTTACCCAGCATTCAGAATAATCTGCTTGGGAGGGACCTCGGAGGTCTTCTAGTCCAACCCCCTGCTTGAGCAGGAGACTCTGTACCCTTTCAGACAAACAGCTGTGCAGTCTCTTCTTAAAAACCTCCAGGGATGGAACGAACACCCGTGACTTCTGAAGGCAAGTTGTTCTACTGATAATTGTTCTGTAAAGGAAATTTCTTCTTAGCTCTTGGTTAGTTCCCTCTTTGCTTCGTTTCCATCCGTGGCTTCTTGTCCTGCTTCCAGGCGCCTTGGAAAAGAGGTTGACCACCACCCCGCTTTGGGGCAGCCCCTCAAATATTGGAAGACTGCCATCATGTCTCCCCTCGTCCTCCTTTTCACTAAAACTAGACATGCCCAATTCCTGCAACTGTTTATTTTTAGCCTCCGGCCCCCTGATCATCTTTGTTGCTCTTCTCTGCACTCTTTCTAATCTCAACATCTTTTTGTTATATCGTGGCGACCAAAACTGGACGCAGTGTGGCCTTATCGAGGAATTATAAATTGGTATGAACGCTTCACGTGATCTTGATTCCATCCCTCTTGTCAATGCAGCCTAGGACTGCATTGGCTTTTTTGGCTGCCCATGCACACGTCTGGCTCATACTTAAAATGGTAACCAACTACTAGGACACCTAGATCTCTTCTCTCTTAATGTGTCAATGGCGTGGCTGTCCTCCAACACCCCTATGAGAGAACAAATGGGACAGCTTAAGGATAATTATAAAATAACAAGAGTTGGATGGGACCCTGGAGATCTTCTAGTCCACCCCCTGCTCAAGCAGGAGACCCTATACCACAGCTCCGAGACTTTCCAGCTTGGTGGCCCAGAGAGAGGAGCAGGGAAATGCACACGTGGCCCGCACACGTGCCCGCGCTACAAGGGGGGGCTCGCCAGCTATTCCCGTGGCCCAGTGGCCAATAGGCCAAGGCCCGGTACTGGGCTGCGGATCATAGGTTGGGGACCCGTCCTATACCATTTCAGACAGATGGCTGTCCAATCTCTTCCTAAAAACCACCTAGACCAGAGGTAGGCCACCTTGGCTCTTTCATGACTCATGGACTTCAACTCCCAGAATTCCTGAGCCAGCATGGCTCAGCTTGGAAACCTCTCCCTTTCCCCTCAGCATGGCTGGCTCAGGAATTCTGGGAGTTGAAGTCCACGAGTCGTAAAAGAGCCAGGGTTGCCTACCCCTGACCTAGACAGAACCTCCACTAGTGGAACAATTAGCAAACACGAATGCTGCCACTTGATATTAAGTCCCCACGGGCCAGATCCGAGCGCGAGAGAACAAGCCAAACACACCCCAGAGAATAGTTTAAGAGATTTTTATTCTAATAGCTTTAATTACAGTGCTCGTTCGTTGAAATGATAACTGAAAACAAGTATACAAAACAGTCGATTACTGTATTGAAAGCAAAACGAGGGAGGGGTGTTTTTTTTTTTTTCCTTGTCCGCACCAAACAAACCAGTTCCGATCGTGTTTTTTTCTCGAGTTGCAACAGCTCCAGGTTTTTCGGTGGTATTTTTTTTAATTATCAAAATACAAAAGAAAGAAAAAAAAAACGGAACAAAAAAAAAAAAGTTAAAATCTGGGATGGCAAAATCTCAAACCTTGCAGGGTGAGAGATGTAAAAAGGGCGTTTCTTGCGTTCCGAAAATGGAATCTAGACACGTCTTAAGAATGGAAGACGCCCGATTATCAAACTCTCGTGTTTTCGATATCCTCCCCCCCCCCCCTTTGCCGGATGTAACAACGGAAAAGCTTGTGTGACATTTCTTATTTAAGTACAGTACTTGCTGAGGTGGGGCTGCCGTTGTGACGTTTGTGTAAGAGGACCGTCTTTGGAAATAATTCTAGGCTGGAGAAGTATAAGGATTTTTGAAGGGGCTACGCCCCGCAGAGACAGAGAGGAAGATGAAGATGGCACCGATAGATTGGAGGGGGGAAAATATTTTTTAAAATCGAAATCTAAGGGGCAATTAAAAGAGTACAGGGTGTGTGTGTGTGTGTGTGTCCCAATTTCTTGTTAATCTGCAACTTCTACTGACTTCGCTCTAACTCTGGGGTAAGTCTCCCACCCAGCTCCGACCACAAAAAGGTCACGCTAATTTTATGATCTGGAACGAGGGGAACTGCTGGTGTCAGCCGCTGCAGAAATTGCAAAGGGTCCTGGGTTCAAGTCTTTCCACCCTCCTTCCCACCCACCCCCACCCCCACGTCTTCTAAAAAGAAACTCATCCCCAGGCTTAAAAACATGGCTGTGGAAATCAGGCCTCAGACCAGATCTGCAAGCCGAGAGGGATCTAGTCCACACACGCGCACAAAAAAACCAACAAAACCAGATTCCTGGCAACCTTTCCCCCCCCCCCTCTCTCTTCTCTTCCTGAATCCCCTCAAAGTTGTTGGGTTGTTTTTCTTTCTTTCTTTCTTTTTTTTTTAACCTTTATCATAAAAAAAAAAAATCCGAATAATATTGCATAGGAGTACCAGAAACTGCCTCGTGGGAAAAAAACAAGAACTATTTACATTAAATAAGAAAATAAAAAGCTAAAACTTGTTTGTTTTGTTTTTTTCCCCCCTTTCGGGCTTGGTTTTGCCACATGTACAGCGTGGTGAAGGACAATCCTGTGGAGGAGGAGAAGAGATGATGAAAAACAGTTTTCCGGCACTCAATACTACAAAGTAGCATGGTTTGCCACATTAGAGTAAAGCGAGGGAGGGGAGGGGGGGAGGAGAGGCAGGGAGGGAGAGGAAGAGGGGTGGGGGGAGAAAAGAGGAATAATTCAGGGCTTCATTTCTGGTTCCGGAGCTGATTGGACAACCAGTCCAGTCCTTCATAGAGGCCGTCCCCGCTGGTGGCACAGGTGGCCTGGATGTACCAGTTTCTGTGGCGGAGAGAATGCAATCCTAGTTTGTCTGTGATTTCCGCGGCATTCATGGCGTTCGGCAGGTCCTGGAAAGGGAAGCAACTGGCTTTAGGAAAGGCGTTTAAAAAAAAAAATAAAAAAAAAAATAAAATAAACCCCATCACAAAGGAAAGAACCGTATTCCACAATCTCAGCTTTTCGTTAAGGCAAAAAAAATAAAAAAATAAAAATAGTCCTCGACTTACGATTACAACTGAGCCCAAACTTTATGTTGCTAAGCGAGACATGTATTTAAACGAGTTTTGCTCTGTTTTACGACCTTTCTTGACGGTTGTTTAGTAACGCGGTTAAGTGAATCTGGCTTCCCCACTGACTCTGCTTATCAGAAGACCATGAAAGGTGACCCCCGGGACACTGAAACTGTTGTTAAGTACGAGTCAGTTGCCAAGTGCCTGAATTTCGATTACGTGACCCAGAGGAGACTGCGACTGTCGCAACTATGAAAAAATGGGTACATCACTTTTTTTCAATACGGTTGTAAGTTTGAACACTAAATGAACTGTTGTAAGGCGAGGACTGCCTATACTCTATAATCGAGAGGCAGGCGCTGCACCTATTGCTTTCCTGGTATTTAATGCCAGCAGGGCATCGCCTGGGAATGCAGGTAGTCCTCGACTTAAGACCATTCGTTTAGTGACCGTTTGAAGTTACAACGGCAATGAAAAAAGCCAGTTGTGACTGTTTTTCACACTTACAGCTGTTGCGTATCTTCAAGGTCACATGATAAAAAACCAGCCCCTTAGCAACTGACCCACATGGATGACAGTTGCAGGTAATGTGATCAGCGGAGGGAAACTCCCTCAAAACGTGATTCTCCCTTAGAAAGCAGGTAAAATCTCTCTTGAGATGTTTTTCAATATGGCCGAAGCTTTGAGTAATCCCTGTTTTTTTCCATCATCACAAAACAAGTGGTCGGGGAGATTCCTAAAATCAGACAACAAATAGGAGGGTTCAGAGTAGGAGAATATTTGAGTTGGAAGGGACCTTGGGAGGTCTTCTAGTCCGACCCCCTGCTCAGGCAGGAAACCCCATACCATTTTGAGACAAATGGCTGTCCAGTCTCTTCTTAAAAACCTCCAGTGTAGGAGCACCCACTGCTTCTGGAGGCAGGTTGTTCCACTGGTTAATTGTTCTAACTGTCAGGAAGTTTCTCCTTAGTTCTAGGTTGCTTCTCTCCTTGATTAGTTTCCACCCGTTGCTTCTTGTCCTGCCTTCAGGCGCTTTGGAGAATAGCTCGACTCCCTCTTCTTTGGGGCAGCCCCTGAGATACTGGAAGACTGTCACCCCCCTAGTTCTTCTTTTCATTAAACTAGACATTCCTAATTCTGCAAACACGAAGAACGGTTCCCTCGAGGTCATCTATTCCCACATACCTGTTTGTTAGCGAAGACTAAAAGGACAGCGTCTCTGAGCTCATCTTCTGCCAACATTCTCATAAGCTCTTCTCTGGCTTCGTTGACTCGCTCTCGGTCGTTGCTGTCGACCACAAAGATCAAGCCTGGAAGGAAACGGCAGGTGTTAAATAAGAACGTGGCAGGGATGCTAGCGGACGGCCGTCTAGAACTGTGATCCTCAACCGTGGCCCCTTTAAGATATGTGGAGTTAAATCCCCAGATTTGCCTAGATTTTTTTTGGGGGGGGGGGAGGAGAAGAAGGAAAAAGTTGCATGATTTGGATGGTTAGGGAATTCTGGGAGTTGGAAGTCCATGCATCTTCAGGTTGCAGAGAAGCACTGCGCTGCGGTACACACATTCCTGACTTAACTGCCACAATTGAGCTCAACGTTTCCACCGGCCCCGTTTTACGACTTTTCTTGCCATGGTTGTAAAATGAACCACTGCAGCTATTCAGTGAATCTGACTTGCCCACTGACTTTGTTTTGTCAGAAGTTCGCCAAAGGGGGGGAGGGTCACGTGACCCCAGGGCACTGTGACCGTCATAAATACGAGTCAGTGGCTAAACATCTCAATTTTCATCATGTGACCGTGGGGATGCTGCGACGGTTGTTAAGTGTGAAAAAAAATTAAGTCACTTTTTTCAGTGCTGTTGAATCACAAGTCGAGCACCCCCTGTTATAAAGTAGGCCTGGACCTCAACTCCCAGAATTCCTCAGCCAGAATGCTGGATGGAGAATTCAGAGAGAAGTCCACACATCTTGAAATAGCCACAATATTTTAGGGTGTTTGGTTCAAAATTAACCAATGGGGGGGGGGGTTTCATTCAGAGGGGAAAAATTGTTATTATATTTTTTTTAATTTAAGTCTTGATAGATATACATACACTGGGAGAGAAACATCCTGCCACATTAGGCTTCAAACAATACGAAATTGACTTCTGGGTGTTTGTAAACAGTGTCCACAATCAACATGTGCCGTAATCCAATTTTCTTTGATTACTGGGTTTCAAAGCTAGTCACTCACACAAGAGAGTAAAAGCAGTAAACTTTGCAAGGGTGTAATTTTACTGTTTCACGTGAACCACACTGCAGAGAGCGATCTTCTTATGCAGCTTCAAAAAAAAACAAACCCCTAACATGCTGTAATATTAATGTCACGCAAGAGAACTGCAGATTTTGGAAAGCGAATACACTGTACAGAAGGAGAAACGGGATTTTTTTTTTTTAAAGACAAAGCTGGAAACTGGACAAAGGGGAAGAGATAAAATGTTGTTAATGAGATGGGCGGTACCCAAATTGGACAAACAAATCAATACAAAGATTCTGTGTAAGGGGGTTGTGCACAAAGCAATTTAGAACAACGATTTGTGTAAAAACAGTTTCACAATGCAGGAGAAAACAGCACATCCCACCCCTCCTCGTTTGCATTTATCCCACATCACTACTCAATTTTCTATCAGCAACATGCTTGATGTGGTTAACCTGCTGGTAGAGAGATTAAAAGGTCACCCTGAAAGGGGTTGTGTGTGACCACAGGAAAGAGAGAGGGACAGAGAGACAAGGAAGGAAAGAAGGGAGGAGGGAACATAGGAGAGGGAAGGAAGGGACAGAGAAAGAAAGGAAGAGAGAAGGTGGGAGGGAGGGAAAGAGAAACAAAAGAAAGAGGGAGGGAAGGAAGGAAGAAGGAGAAAGATGAGACAGAGAAACAAAGAAGAGAGGAAGGAAGAGACAGAAAGTGAGGGAAGGAAGGAGAGATAGATACAGAGAGAAGAGGAAGAAAGAAATGGGAGGAAGAGAGCGAAGAAGGGAAGGAAAGAATGAAAAGAAGAGAAGACAGAGGGAGGGAAGGAGGAAGAGAGGAACAAAGAGAAGGGAGGGAAGGACAGAGAAAGAAAGGATGTAAGAAAACTACCAACTGGATATATATTTTTTGCATAAACTACCAATTATACACAGATGAGAAGCTGAAACACCTCACAAACACTTCTATATAACAGTAACGTTGCATTTAATCGTCCATTCTTAACATTAAATAAACAAGTCTCTATTTCTTTCTTTGATTCAGCAAAAGATCAGTGTTTCATATGTGGAAGAGGTAAACCAGATTAAGCAAAGGCTGCCAGTGTGCCAGGCACAAAGGATCATTTAAGATCACGGCAATGGCAGAATCGTGGATTAGTCTTTCCCCTGGTCTGTGTGGCTCACGTTTTTGGGGTTTTATGCTAAATCATGTATTTTCTTAATCCACATTTATATTTTAGCAGGCTAACTGAATCTGGCAGCCGCCGAGCCAAAGTCTTTGACCCATTTAATTTGGCAACTTTGGGGATGGAATAGCTGGCTCCAAACAGCAAAGCAGAACTGCAGCGTTCCTTAACTTTGTCAACTTCGAGATGGGTGGGGAATTATGGAAGTTGAAGCCCACCGTTTTTAAAGTTGGCAAACTGAACAACAGAATAGCAAAGTTGGAAGGGATCTTGGAGGTCTTCTAGGAGACCCTATTGCCATTTTAGAAAAATGGCTGTCCAATCTCTTTTTGAAAGCCTCCAGTGATGGAGCACCCACACCTTCTGAATGCAAGTTACTCCACTGGTTGATTGTTCTCACCTTTAGGAAATTTCTCCTTAGTTCCAGGTTGCTTCTCTCCTTGGTTAGTTTCCATCTGTTGCTTCTTGTCCTGCCTATTGGTTTTTTGGAAAATAGCTTGACCCCCTCGTCTCTGTAGGTACCCCTCAAATATTGGAAGGCTGCTATCATGTCACCCCTAGTCCTTCTTATCGTTAAACCAGACATACCGAATTCCTGCAACTGTTCTTCATACGTTTTAGCCTCCATCTTTGTTGCTCTTCTCTGCATTCTTTCTAGGGTCTCAGCCTATTTTTTACATCTGCAGACCTCCTTCCGTTCCAGCTACTTTAGCAAAAATACTGAGGGATTAATGGTCACTAAATAAACTGCTGTAAATCGAGGACTACCAGCATCCTTCATAAGATTTCCACTTGACTCATGCAATTTACAAGATTTCCAGGTGCTGTCGATGGCAATTCTGGGGCAATTTAATGCTGATGCAGCTTAAATAGATAGAAAGAGAATGTGGGTCTTGCACACCGCAAACAGCTCACCTTGTGTGTTTTGGAAATAATGGCGCCAGAGTGGTCTGATCTTATCCTGTCCGCCGACATCCCACACCGTGAAGCTAATATTCTTGTATTCTACTGTTTCTACATTGAAACCTAGACAGTAATAAGCGGGAGAGAATGTGTTAGTTAACAGGAGGAAGATAGATTTATCCATTTAAGATGACATCAGTCACATGAGGTCTTCCAACAGCCCCTTCTTCTTGCCAGCCGAAACAATTTTATAAGCAAGAGTCACTATATTATAAGGAAAAAAAACTAACCTTTCCCTCCCCATTATATGTTTTACAAAGTGGTATTAAAAAGCTGAGAGCCAGTTTGGTGTAGGCATCAGGTGACTCTGAGTTCTTGTCCTCCCTAAGCACAAAGAGACCTGGGTGAGTTTTGGCCAATCACCAGGAGACAGGGAATTCTAGTCCCGCCTTAGCCATGAAAGCCAGCTGGGTGACCTTGGGCCAGCCACTCTCTCTCAGCCCTATAAAGGAAACAATGGCAAATCACTTCTGAAGAAAAACTTGCCAAAACTGCAGGGACTCATCCAGGCAATTTCTGAGAAATGGACACAACTAAACAGAAGAAAATATAAATTTATTAAACAGCTACACACACACACACATATTATAGAACTCCAAGATCAGAGGGTACCCCAGAGGTCTTCTAGTCCTTGTCCATGGCAGGAATCTTCAGACCATCTCAGCTAACTGGGTGCTCAAAGCCTCCACCTTTCTCCCAAGCTTTTGGCAGATTAGATGACCACACATTAGAACTGACTGGTGTCAGGGTTTTTTTTTTAAATGTTTTAATGGGTTGAGTTTTAAAGTATTAAAATTATTTATACATCTTTTAAGTTTTGACTGGAAACCATCCAGAGTTGTTTGAAAGATGGGTGGCTACATAAACGTTTAAAATAAGTAAATGCATTGACCCACGAGGACCGTGCACCTAGGGCTGCAGGAGGTAAGCTGTGCCACTGATGATGTTTCTATTTCTTTCTCCGCTTTTATAGATATATGTAGAGGAAACTCAAGGTGGTAAACATACCTAATGCTCCTTCCTCCTCCAATTTTTCTCACAACAACCTTGTGAGGTGGATTGAGCTGAGGGGGAGCGACTGATCCAAAGTCACCCAGCTGGCTTTTGTGCCTGATTGACACAAAACCTAAGGTGCAACTAGAACTCACTGTCTCCTAGTTTCTAGATCAGCACCTTCACTACCACATCAAACTGGCTCTCTGGAAACAGCCTTTCTGGTCAAAGAAGTGAGTGGCTAGATTTTAAATTTACTGTACATAAAATATGCCACGCACGAAGCTAATTATCAACATAATGTTCATACTTTTTATTTAGCTGTTTATCTCCCGAAAGGTTCAAATGCAATTAATTAAATGAAGGCTGTTTAAAGAGAAAATGCTTTTAGATAATATTAAATCTGCTGTATTTTCACTCAGGAATCCTCAGACAACCTCAGACCTGCCTTTCAAAAAATAGGATAGATTTTATCCAAACAAAAACAAATGAAGAAGTGTTCCTACATAGTTATTAAAAAAAAACAAAAAAAACAATAGATGTATGCATTGTTAAACTTCAATAGTGATACTGCGAAAACTAAACAGAAAGGTTTTAATAGCACGCTATTTACCTTACAGACTTGAAAACCAATACAAATAGTCCTTGACTTACATTTCATTTAGTGACCATTTGAAGTTACAACAGCACTGAAAAAAGTGACTTATGACCATTTTTCACATTTACAGCCATTGTAGCATCTCCGTGGTCACGTGATCAAAATTTGGATGTTTGGCAACGGACTCATATTTATGACAGTTGCAGTCCTGGGGTCATGCGATCCCCTTTTGTGGACAGGCACAGTCAACGGGAAACAAGATTCACTTAACAATCGCATGACTAACTTAACATGGTTAAGTGATTCACTTAACAAATGTGGAAGGAAAGGTCGTAAAATGGGACAAAACCCATTTAGCAAATGTCTCACTTAGCAACATAAATTTTGGCCATAAGTCGAGGACTACCTGCATGTAGTATGTCCACAAGCAGTTTCCTTTAGTTCAAGGAATTCCAAAAATGCAGCGCAGATTTTGAACTGAGTTAACTGAAGTAGCACCATATTGATTACTACTCCTGAGCAGCCTGTGCGCAGGCTAATTTTGCATTTTTACCCAGAGTTGTGATACTGTGCAAATTTTATTTCAATTTTACTTTAAACCCAGATTTAGTTGCAATTAAGAGATTGCTTGCATTCTTACCTATAGTAGGGATGGTAGTTACTATTTCACCGAGTTTAAGCTTGTACAATATAGTAGTTTTTCCTGCGGCATCCAGTCCGACCATAAGAATACGCATTTCTTTTTTGCCGAACAGGCCTTTGAAAAGGTTGGCAAAAATATTTCCCATGTTTCAGGATATTGTTCACCCACTGGCCAAGAAAATCTAGAAGATGGAAGGATTCAGAGACTATTAGCGGCAGTTAAATGTCATGAGGCTAGCTAGCACAGCCCCCAAAGTATACATTAATGGCCCTCGTGAACCGAGGGAGATTTATTTCTCAGGTAAACATTCGTACACTCATGTAAACATTCGACTTACAACCATTCATTTAGTGACCATTCAAAGTTACAAGGGCACTGAAAAAACCAACTTATGACCATTTTTCACACTTATGACCACTGTAGCATCCCTGGGGTCACATGATCAAAATTTGGACATTTGGCATGTATTTACGACAGCCGCAGTGTCCCGGGGTCCTGTGATCCCCTTTTGCAACCTTTTGACAAGCAAAGTCAATGGGGAAGCCAGATTCATTTAACAACTCTGTTACTAACTTAACAATTGCAGTTACTCACTTAACAACAAAGGTAAAATGGGGCAAAACTCATTTAACTATCTTGCTTGGCAATGGGAATTTTGGGGGCAATTGTGGTCGTATGTCGAGGACTGGATGTAGTCAGTTTGTGAAAACAGAGGTTCAAAATCCAAGCTGAGCATGCAAACAGCAGCTTAGAAGGCAGTTATTTATGCAGATTAAATTGCCACATATAAACAAAGACAGCAACATGTATTTCCATAATAGGATAAAAATGTTTTAGTGGGAGAAGGGGCAGTTTGCTCAAATATACAGTTATTGTAACAAGATTACATGTTCTGTGAAACTACAATAAAATGATCAAAATACATAAAGGAGGTTGAAAGATATGCGTGTGGGAACCATGTTACTCCTAAAAGACAGAACAGGTCACTTGACTATGTTTATTTATAAATATATCTATAAACATAAGGGAGGGGGGGCTTCAATACAGAAACAGGAGCACAAAATTTCAAGATTAAACACATTTTTCCTCTTTCCCAAATGAGAAAAAATAATAGCTAGGACAAACCACCGATTGTGGCAATAATGCTATTCAACACTAATCATATTTAATTAGAACAAGCTATGCTAGGAATATTGTTAACAGTAGAATGAACCAGATAACTACATGAAATTTTCCTTAATGAAAATAATCTCTATTGTACTATGCACGCATTTTCCAAAACTCTCTGAAACGGAGGAGTTGGCAGAATCCAGTTTGACCAGCACGATTCTCTCAAAGGAGGCTGTTCACAATTCTAGAATCCAGGCATCATCAGATGCCAACAATGCTCCTGGCATTCTCTGGACATCCTAATAACCGAGTTATAGTTAATCAGTTTCTACTCTGTCAAACTTGGCAGAGAGAAAGGCAGCCAATTCCTCAGAGAAGCCTATTACTGTAGTTTTAATACAGGTAATCCTTGGCTTACGACCACAAGGGAGGCCATGATTTCTGTTGCTAAATGAGACAATTGTTAAGTGAATTTTTCGCCTCACTTTACAACTTTTCTTGGCACAGTTCTTAAATGAATCACTTTAGTTAAGTTGGTAACCTGGCTTCCCCATTAACGTAGCTTGTCAGAAAGTCGCAAAAGGGAACTGCACGACTCTGGAACACTGCGACCGTCATAAATATGAGTCAGTTGCCGAGCGTCTGAATTTTGATTATGTGACCATGGGATTGTTGCAACGATCTTAAGTGTGAAAAATAGTCACAGTTCACTTTTCTCAGTGCTGTTGTAACTTCAGTCATTAAACGAATGGCTGAAAGGCAAGGACTGCCTGTATAACATTTATTTTTATTTCATTTATTAAATTTATATGCTGCCCATCTTGTGGTTTGAAACTAACAGCACATGACAACATTTGTGTGCTCTTTCCAACTTTTAGAAGGGCAATGAAATATTAGTAAGATGGTTTGAGAACACAAATCGCGACTACCTGGGAACAGGTATCGCAGAATGTAAATCGGTATTTTATTCACGAAGAAAGATACCAACTATCAAGAACGTTTTCACCTGAGCTGTGAAGAGCAATTCCCCGGTGTTTATAACTGGGCAGCTGCAATATTTAGCCTGAATAATCTTCACGAGCACCCGTACTTATGCTATTATAAATTAATTAGGTCTACAGAAATATATTTAACTCAGTACTTAGCGTGCCCTGTCATTACAGCGTTAATTTCCGAGGGAGTCATTTGAGAAACAACTTCTGAAAAGACGTAAGTGCTTCCCTGCTATAACACAGCTTGCTATTTCCTTCCCTTCCCTGCCAGACCGACCACCCTAAGCTGGGGTGCTGCAGAGGGGGAGAAAAAATACACTTCCCTTTTGGGTGGAGCTCAGTTTAACCTCTACTTCCAGAATCTGGCTCCACAGCCAGCGAGAGTCACACCAGACCTTTCCCCTCAATGTTCTTTCAAAACCCATCAGGGACCACTTCCACAGCGCCCATCCTCCAGGAATAAGCCAGATGTCTCAAAACTCTCTTGCTGCAAGAGCAGAAACGTCCCGGGTTAACCATTTCATGCCCTTTTGAAGGACACCAGAGCCATTATTAGTAGCTAATCTTTGCAGTTCAGGACTGAACTGCGGGGGGGGGGGGCTCGATGTTTTTCTTGCAGACGTTTCAGTACCCCAGCTAGGAAGCATCACCAGTGCTAGAAGCTAGAACCCCAGTCCCTTCTAGCACTGACGATGTTACCTAATGTGGTAATGAAATGTCTGCAAGGAAACCACCAAGCTCAGAGAGCACCAAGGACCCCACAATCCTCCTCTCCACAAACCCTCCTCCCTTCTAGCACTGACTATGTTCCCAGGTTGGGTCACAAAATGTCTGCAAGTAAACCATCAAGCTCACAGAGCACCGAGGATCATATTATTCTACTCTTCTACAGCTCTGGCTCCTGAGTTCCATGCTGTTACAGACCCTCACACAGTCCAACTGGGATAAGCCATGTTTTCAGGATATAAAACAGTTTATTAAATTTAACTCAGCATGCATGCACTGCCTTGGATTTTATTTGCCAATCATAAAGCTCAACCCTTCCAAGACCGAGTGGCTGTGGCTGCTGGCGCCTCGGTATAGTCAGCTGACCCCATCGCTGACTATAGGGGGCGAAATTTTGGCCCCCGCAGAGAAGGCCCGCAACTTGGGAGTCCTCCTGGATCCACGGCTGACATTGGAAGACCATCTGTCAGCCGTGACCAGGGGGGCGTTTTATCAGGTTCGCCTGATTCACCAGTTGCGACCTTTTCTGGACCGGGACGCCTTGCGCACAGTCACTCATGCCCTCGTCACCTCCCGCCTGGACTACTGTAATGCTCTCTACATGGGGCTCCCTCTGAGGAGCACCCGGAGACTCCAACTGGTCCAGAATGCGGCCGCGCGGGCGGTGTTGGGAGGGACTCGTCGCTCCCATGTAACACCGCTGCTGCGCGAGCTGCACTGGTTACCAGTGGTCTTCCGGGTGCGCTTTAAGGTGTTAGTTACCACCTTTAAANAGCGGGCCTCCTCAGGGTGCCGTCGGCCAAGCAATGTCGGCTGGCGACCCCCAGGGGGAGGGCCTTCTCTGTGGGTGCCCCCACCCTCTGGAACGAACTGCCCCCCGAGATCCGGATGATTCCGGATCTCCTTACTTTCCGCCGCGCCCTCAAGACATGGCTTTTCCAGCAAGCGGGCCTGACCTAGGGAGGATTTTAGTTAGGGATGATTTTAGAAGCAATTTTAATTGGAAACACAGCCGTCAATATTTGATTTTTAATTCGGTTTTTATTGGGGTTTATATTGTTGTATTTTTGTATTTTTTGTATATTGTGTATAGTATCTGTTTTTTAAATATGCTGTGAACCGCCCTGAGTCCTATGGGAGAAGGGCAGTATATAAATTAAATTTGATGATGATGATGATGATGATAAAGCCTTGAAAACCTTGTCCACTAGTTAGTGCAGTGATGGCGAACCTTTTAGAGACCGAGTGCCTAAACTGCAACCCAAAATCCATTTTATATATCGCTAGGTGCCGGGTGGGCATGGCCCGCTGGGGGGGGGGTGGCCCACTAGATGGGCGTGGCTACAATGGTCATGGCAAATGGGTGGGTGTGGCCAGCTCGATGTTGCTCCTGGGGAGAGATGCCTGTGGGGGCCGGGCAGGGTTGGGGGAGATCCAGGGGGGTCTCTGGTGGGTGGGATGGTGGGCAGGAGGCTCGTCCTGTGGGGTGAGGCAAGACGAGGCAGGGCGTGGTTGCCATTGTCGCAGGGCAAGGCGAGGTAGGGGCCGGGCCGGCTGCTGTTTGACACCATCAGCCTCCGCACACAGAGGCCAGCAAGCGCATGGGTGCTGGGATGCATCCAGCCACGTGGGACCTCGGCGAGTTAGCGGGCGGCTGGTTGAAGAGGGACGGTTGCCATCTCAGGGGCATGGCACACGTGCCCACAGAGAGGGCTCTGAGTGCCGCCTCTGGCATGTGTGCCATAGGTCCGCCACCACTGAGTTAGTGGGTAGCCAGTGTAGTCGTTTATTGCTTGGAATCAAGGCAGGTGCTCAACCCAGCCATCAGCTGCCACATTCTGGACCAGTTTTGACTTTGGGATCAATATCCCATGCTATACTTCACAGGCTGAATTGCACTTTCATAGAGATTGCTCTGTGTTAATTGAGCTACTCAGGCAAAACCACGACAGCCTACTCAATTCCTGAGATGACAGAAAACATATTTTCAGATGGCCATGGAGCAGGGGGTCTTCAAACCTGGCCCTTTTATGACTTGTGGACTTCAACTCCCAGAATTCCTCAGCCAGCATCGTATTAAAAACCCTGGGTGTGGGTTTTTGTCCGTCCCCCCCCCCCCCACTACTGCAATTAATAGAATACAGATTGGTGTGGGTTTTAAGAGAACCAGTGTTCTTTCCTATCCAGACCTCGTACGAAAATATCACTGGTAGGTGGAGATATGAAAGCATAGCACAGGAAAGAGAAAGGTCAATGGAAATAAGGTCTCAGTTGCACATAAACATTTTCTCAGCCGAAAGTAGCCTTACATTCGGAACAGGGAGAGATTTAATTCAGCCAATAGAAGAAGCCT